AGTGGAGTGAGTAGGTGAGGTGTCGAATAGAGTGAGTATTACATTACGGTTTGAAGTATGTGATGTCATGTGGTTGTGTGTAGTTGGTGAGTAGATGAAGTGGTAGTAGGTGGTGGGTGTAGGCGAGACGCCAATGCGAGAGAATGTGAAGGAGGTCCAGTGGGAAGAGAAGTGCATTGAGGAGGTAGGTGAGGGCGATGAGCCAGAATGTTAGGATGAGGTTGATTGCTGAGAGGAGTTTGTAGTTATATGATGGATGGTAGTATTGGAGTGAGTAGGTGAGGTGTCGAATAGAGTGAATATTAGATTACGGTTTGAAGTACAATGTAGGAGGTGCGGGGATGTTGTCGGCGAGTAGATGCAGTGGTAGTAGGTGGTGGGTGTAGGCGAGACGCCAATGCGAGAGCATGTGGAGTAGGTCCAGGGGGAAGAGTAGTGCGTAGAGGAGGTAGGTGATGGCGAGTAGCCAGAAGGTGACGAAGAGGTTGTTTGCTGAGAGGAGGTTGTAGTTATATGATGGATGGTAGTAGTGGTGTGAGTAGGTGATATCATGTGGTTGTGTGCAGTTGGTGAGTGGATGCAGTGGTGTGAGCACGGCATTGTGTAGGTGTGACCGTAGGTGTAGAACGTCCAGTGGTATTGTTAGTGAGTATGTTAGGTAGATGATGGCGATGGGCCAGAAGGTGACGAAGAGGTTGATGACTGAGAGGAGGTTGTCTTTGGTTGATGGATGGTAGTAGTGGAGTGAGTAGGTGATATCATGTAATTGTGTGTAGTTGGTAAGTAGTACTAATGGTGTGAGCACGGCATTGTGTAGGTGTGACCGTAGGTGTAGAACGTCCAGTGGTATTGTTAGTGTGTAAAGGAGGTAGGTGATGGCGAGTAGCCAGAAGGTGACGAAGAGGTTGATTTCGTCGAGGAGGTTGTAGTTATATGATGGATGGTACTAGTGGAGTAGTAGGTGATGTCATGTGGTTGTGTGTAGTTGGTGAGTAGTACAAGTGGTATGAGCACGGCAGTGCGTAGATGTGACCGTAGGTGTAGAACGTCGAGTGGCATCGTGAGTGAGTATGTTAGGTAGGTGATGACGAGTAGCCAGAGGGTGAGGTGGAATAGTGGGTAGTGGAGTGGGTAGATAAGGTGTCGAATAGAGTGAGTATTAGATTACGGTTTGAAATATGTGATGTCATGTCGTTGTGTGTAGTTGGTAAGTAGTACTAGTGGTGATATCACGGCATTGCGTAGGTGTGAACGGAGGTGTAGAACGTCGAGTGGTACTGTGAGAGAGTATGTTAGGTAGGTGATGACGAGCAGCCAGAAGGTAAGGAGGTAGTAAAGGAAGGGTTTGCGGATGTGGTAGAGAAAGATGTTGATTTGGGTGAGGAGTGGTTCGAATGAGTTGTTGATGACATTGTGAAGTTGAGTGTAGAAGTTGTTGCATTGGCGTTTTTTCGTTGGGTCACCATCGGTTCCATTTAATGCAGCTGCGGAATAGTACGTGAAGCCGTATTTGAAGAAAAGGGGTAGGACGTCAGCGCATTGGACGATGGTGGGACAGATGCAGTTGTTTTCGTTGCCGTGGTCACAGTCTGTCTTACAACCATGGTCCTTTTTACATTGAATATCCTTAAACCTTTTTAGTAACTCTTCAAGACCTTCTTTGAGGACATCCGTTAGATAGACAATACGTGATAGATAGGACATAGCGAAGGATTCTGAGATGATGGGATAGATAACAAAGGACAGGGGGTCAAGGTATTGGCCGCAAGTTTGGGGAGTTTTGCATTCACTGTTGTAGAGGCTGTGGAGGGACACCTTTTCACCGGGTTCGTGAGAGGTAACGTCTTCGTCAGAGTCAGAGGCATCGGGATGGTCAGTTTCGCTGCCAGCTAGGGTTTTAACAGCGGTAGTGATGTCTTTGGAACCTTTATAATTCCATGGTATATTCTCGGCTTCGGTATTGATGGCATCAGCGACGTTAGGGGAACTACCATTATTCATAATCCCACCAAGATACAAGAAAAACGCAAAAAGGTCACCCACCGTTCTTGGTGTTCGTTGACATACAATAAGCAGGCATAAAGTTATATTGTATAAACTGACGGACTCACGGTCCTTTTGGGTGAAGTAATGTAGTATCCAATGGATATAGTTACCAGTACGTTCGGTGTGTGATAGACAGTCTTTGTTGAATCCCATGGGTACTGGGCAATATTGATTGAAATTGCGATGGGAGGCATGGTCACTATATGGTACAGTGGTGCCACCATTTTTAGATACAAGTTGAACATTTTGAATTTGACATTCGTTATTTTTAAGTGATTCGCATTGGAATGGTGTAAGATAATCACATAGGAATGCTTGGAGGGGGGAGAGGTTGTCGGAGGTTTTGCCGCAATTGGTATGTTTAGTGGCGCAATTGTCGGTGTTACAGTTATGAGATGATGCAGTTTGTTGACCCCCTGGAGACGTGCATATCCAAGATTTAACGTTGTCATATTGTATACCTTCACCATATTTGCAATATTTCCAACCGCCATTGTAAGGGCAATTTAGACATTGCCACATGAGAAAATAAATTTGGGAATAGACAGCCGAGACAATGTCCCATAGAACAGGGAATAGGGCATTAGCTGTAGTGGGATATTCAAAGTTGAAAGCAGAATTAGAGTAGATGTCATGGAGGCCCTTTGGGGATTTAGGTGTTGTATTGTCACAAATTGTTCCTTGGATAGTGGATAGGACCACAGCGGCGTAATGGCACGATGTTAATATAAGACAGTCGAGGGGATCAGTAGGCTTTAAGGTGATACCATCATCGATGAAATCACTTTCATCATCCGGTGTATCACAAATACCATGTTTCTTAATACCCTGTTGAATAGTTGCAGGTGCTAGCTGGAAACACTCACTGTAGGGCAGCGCCATTAGCCAGTAGAGCATTTCCCTAATGGTGGTTGGGACATGGGTACCAGCATTGTTGAATTTATATTGAAAATAGTATTGTGATGCGAGGTAGAGAGTGGAGAGGGGGTAGGTGTCGGGTGATGTTGTGTTGGTTAGTACTTCTTTGATGTATTTCGAGTAGTCACCGTTAACGGTGCCGTTGTTGAACAAATCTTTGAGTAAACTTTTGATATCGTTGGCTGTCTTATCACTTTTCAAGTCTTCCTTTTTATACCCACAACACACGAAATAGATGCCGAGGGCGTTGGTACTATTGATAGATTGATTGGTCCAACGTTCACCAGCAGTAGCACGACCATTACCACTACACCGCCAATACAAATAACTTAGACCGGAAAAAATTACGGGGAGCGCGCCGAGGAAGATGCGAGCGCAAAGGTTGTCCTTTTCACATTGCTCATTCCATTTGGCAGCAGAGTTGTAGGAAGAGGTGTAACTAGTACCTTTGTTACCAATACCAGTACCACCACTTTTATCAATGAACTTTTCCAACTTTGTGGCCAAATTGGTGATCAATTGACCATTACTACCATTCAACTGCTCATTTACTTTTTGAAGCACTTTTTTATCATTTGTGAGTTTGTCAGTGGCTTTTGTCTGAGCTTTTTCAAGTTCTTCCTTCGCCTTCTTATCAGCGGCACTGTCAATCACACCTTTGTAGTATTCATCAACTTTAGTCTTTAATGTATCGATGTACGTTTCAACACCATTCCCAAGTAAATCTTTCACAGCTGTGGCGAGATCACCGGATTTATCACCACCATTCTGCCCATTATCCTTCCCCGTTAACCTCAGAATCCAATCAATACACTCCTTCAGGTTACCCGGGGGACACAACAAAGAGGTATGTTGGCCATTGCCACCACCCTTACAACCACAACTCTCCGCCATTAAAATAACCACCTTACAACATTTCACATTCTTCCACAGATAACAACATATATGTGTTCCTCATCACTAAGCGACATGGGGGGATATATAGGTGCAACTGCTACACCACACGCTTGGGACAACACCTAGTGTCACTCAGACTGACAAAATATTCTTCACACATTTTCTCTGTCACCCCTTTAAAAACACTTTTCAGTAACCCACGTT